TTTACTCATGATCTTCAAAGGAATGGTGATATAAATGTTCAACAAGTCCGCTCAAGTGACAACCTAGCAGATCTCTTTACAAAGTCACTTCCAAGAAAAGTTTTTGAACAGTTGATACACAAGATTGGACTCCGTCGTCTTAAAGATTGTATGCATGAGGGGGAGAAATAAATATTTATGAATGATGTACTCTTTTTCCTTCACTAGGTTTTTATCCCACAGGGTTTTTCCTAGTAAGGTTTTAACGAGGCACATTCTAAATATTGGACATCCAAGGGGGAGTGTTATGAATAATAATTAGTGGCTTAATTAGTGGATGCCAATATTCATTATCAATCATTACCATTTATATGTCCGTTATGTATTATTCCCTTTTTGTGTAATTGTTCAGTTACCACATGTACTTATAAATTGGTTACTCCTCTCCCAAAGATAATATACCAGTCAGATTCTTTTCTCTATCTCATACTGTCTCATTTCTTCTCCCTATTTTTTCTTCCTTTTATAACACGTTATCAGTATTGGTGTTGCAACTACCACAAACAACATTATCAACTTTCTGTCACCTTGACGCTTAGTGTGGTTTCTGCGATCAGAACTCTACAGATATGCGATTTTGCACATTTTGTATCCAAATTATTGATCTCTTCGGACAATCGATAAAAATGTTCTAAATCATACGAGAAACATTTAAAACAATACAATTTACTCATACAATTACATCTTCAAACAATCTTCTCTTATATCTACCAATGCATTCCATTAGATTTTCCATAAGAATGCATAGAGATCTCAAATCATACAATTACAATTCGAAAACTGAAATTATTCATTCATTAAAGCAATTCATACAATTAATTACATACAAGAAGGACAATAGATGAAACAAACACAATTGGAGAAAATTCCTCATACATGAGCATATAACAAACATAGGATTGAGGGTCAATCCCACTACCCAACATACATTTCCACACCTAGAGCGAGATTTCTCACTCCCCCTTACCTTGTTGAGCAGAAAAAAGATGAATGGTTAAATTTGGCGTGGTTTCCTCCTCCTTCAAGTTCTCCGAGCTTTAAAGCGCATACGTGTAAAGTGAAAACCTAAAATCTAATCTACTCTCTCTCTTCTAAAAACTTAACCTCCCTTTAACCCTTTAGTAAAAAATATTTTAACCATGATTATCTTTTTCTTTTTCTCAAATATTAAAACTTTAATTAAATAATATATCCAATAAACATATTTCTTCCAATCTAAATAATTATAATAAAATACAATATTTAATAATTAACAAATATATAATTTTCAACACAATTATAACTAAAATAAAATATATAAATAATTACAATAAAACACATAATTTTCTCCAAATACTTATTATAACAAAATATCATAAGAATACATAATTCTCTAATAAATATTATACAAAATAATTTTTATAAATATTTATTATTTAATTAAAATACTAATTATTAAAAATCTCTAAAATATTTTATTGAACTCATTTAATTGATTAAAAAAATTATAAGAAATTAATCCCCATAAATAAAAAAATAAATATTAATTAAATTATTATATTAATAGAAAATTTGAGATATTACATGTAGTAGGGAGCTACTACCCATATCTACTATGCTGACATCTCTAATTTGAGAGACCTACTCATTATTTAATGTCTAAATTTAAGAGAAATTTAATACAAGAATTAATGCCATTAATGTATAAATTGAATTTGATAACGTAACATTAATCATTTTAATACTTTAGAATGAAAATTATAAAAAATTATGAGAATCATTAATAATAAATTTAATATAAATATATACCTCTAATAATAAAAAAGATAAATTACACATTCTAAAAATTTTATACTTAAACAACAATTAATTCATAAAAAAAAATAGTGAATTTTCCAAACCAGAACGACGTTTATGCAAAGTATCAAACAGGACTCAAATCACGTTTTTTTAATGCGAAGACTTCCGAGTAATTTCTAATCATACACGAGTTACGACACATGACAGATCCACTTTAGGTGGCATGAGGACAGGCTGGAACTGGATATATCCCCACAAGATTTTTAATTTTTTTTAATATATGTATATAGATATAAATTGTTTACATTATTTAGTATACAATTAAAAAAATATTTTATAACAGAATTATAACCATTAATTTATATTGACCTCGTTAGGTAGATAAATATTATAATTTTAATTTAATCATTAATTTTCAATTAATAACTATTTTCTTAGCCAGTATTTCATAATCACTCGAAGGGTTAGATTGTCTCCCAAATTAAATCTCAAACTACTATAGTTGATGTACTGCATTGAAAATAATATAATTTTAATCTCGAATTTTCACATCATTTTGATATAAGAAATGGTTGAATATAATTTATAAGAATATTGGAGAGTAATTATATATATATATATATTTATTTATTTATTTATTTCAATAATATAT